GTTCCAACCCTTTTATCATTCTAGTTGCCCTTTTCTGCACTTAAAAAGGTAAAGGTAAAGGTTCCCTTGCTCGAAAGCCAGTCGAATCCGACTCTAGGGTTGCGGTGCTCATCTCCGTTTCCAAGCCGAAGAGCCAGTGCTGTCCGAAGATGTTTCCGTGGTCATGTGGCCGGCATTACTAAACACCAAGGCACACGGAACGCTGTTCCCTTCCCACCGAAGTGGTACCTATTTATCTACTTGCAATTTCTTGCTTTCGAACTGCTAGGTTGGCAGGAGCTGGAACTAGAGACGGGAGCTCACTCCGTCATGTGGCACCCGGGTCTCGAACTGTTGAACTACTGACCTTCTACAGCCTACAGTTCAGCGTCTTAACCACTTGAGCCACCGCAGCTCCTTTCTGCACTTATTCCAATGCTATAATATCCTTTTTGAGGTGTGGTACACAGTACTCCAAATGAGGACGTACCATCGATTTATACAGGGGCATGATGATACTGGCTGATTTGTTTTCAGTTCCCTTCCTAATAATCCCCAGCATAGCGCTGGCCTTTTTTATTGCAGTTGCACACTGTCTAGACATTTTCAGTGAGTTATCTACTACAACTTCAAGATCTCGCTCTTGGTCAGTCTCCACCAGTTCAGACGCAGCTACCCCCTGAATTTTGAATCAGAGATGGTGTTTATCACCTAATCATCCATCCTTCCTCTCCTGTTTCTCTCCCTCCAGGTCTGGAACCACAACCTTATCAGCGATGAGTTTTTGGGCCAGGTGTCTCTTCCGGGCGACCCGAACGACCTCCAGTCAGTCCACATCCTCGGCCTCCAAGACAAAGGGAACAAGCGACCCACAGAACTCCCCGGAAGTCTGAAGGTCCACCTTCTGACCAGCGGCACCCTCACCAACGTCTGAATTACTCAAGGACTTTCCCTCTTGTGCCATATATAAATGTATAGGATCTTGCAAGATGCAGTATATACGTATATATATATATGCCTGCAGATGTATACGGACCGTGCATGTGTTCAGTTTTAAAAGGGGGGTGGTGGTTCTTTTGTTTCCGAGGATGGGCGGTTGATGTTGTTGTTGTTTTTAATTCTGTTCTTCGTTTTTTCTAAAAAGGTGCCTTTTCCAGAAGCCAAAATGCTTATTTTGTTGACCGCATACAAGGCATGGGTTTGTGGGTCGCTGGTGGCGGGCAGCAGTGTGGAGCCAGAAACCGATCCTGCTGTTTTGGAGGGGGGGGGGGAGTGTGTCAGCCTCAGAATCATGCCGCGAGGCTGTATGTTTACACAGAGAGGTACATCTCTCATGCGCACACGTGCGGGTTTGGAGCATGAACCCCAACCCAGGGGAAAAAAGTATATTGCCAATTTATCTGAAGGGCTCATTCTTAACTGGCATATCCCTTGCCTGTGTTGTTAGCGCTGACGCCAGAAGCTGTATCGAAGCGCCCCCTGCGTTTTCTAGGACAGATTGTTGGACTCCAGGTTGGGAATGGGATGGGTGGGAACACACCTTGCCTGCCAGAACCCAGAAGTCTGCCGCATGATTTCCTCCTTACCGACACACTGATCTGGCTTGGACTACTGGATCATTGACTTGTCGAGCCGGTGCCTGTCTATGTGTATTATGTCTGCAGTGTGAGGTTGTCAACCTCCAGGTATGGTCTGGAGACCTCCTGGCATCCCAACAGATCTCCAGGCCAAAGCTCCCTCTAAGCTGTGGCGTCTTGTGAGCAAAAATTCTACTTTGTGAGCCACCGGCGTTAAGGTTGTGAGCGAGCGATTTGGCCGCTGCATCAATGAGTGTGCTCTGGAGCCCTCCTTCCTGAGCTGAGGCAACAAATGTGTGAGCCGGAGGCCAAAAAAGTGTGAGCTAGCTCACACGAACTCAGCTTGGCGGGAACGCCGCTACAGACCCAACCTGGAGGTCGGCCACTTCGGCAGCCACTGGACGTGTGACTCCACCGAATACTGCAGAAGGTAAATAGTTGCGCAGAAAGACAACATTAGACCAATCCCTACAACTCTGCAGATACAACATCTGAAGTTCATGGGAAGAGAGGGGGCACGAAATGAAGCCCTGGAGGAACAAGCCATAACACCAAGAGGAGACCGGGGGGGGGGGAGCGGTCTAGATTATCCTGGTTTCTCAGGACCAAAACGTCTCCGATCTTTTTTTGTCGGCTTTTCCCAAGAGAACAGCACACCAACCAAGGCTTAGGTGTGATAGCCATACGTTCTTTGACTTCTCGTACCCTCAGAACTGATGGGGATATTGTTGAGTTATTAAGTCTTTTCCCCCCCTTCTCCGGTGTCTCTGTAACCGCTTTGGCGTAAAATCGGTCAAGGGTTGCGGAACGATCGGCTGCCATTCCCACGCTTGCCGGGGTGACGCCCCACCGGCGGACGGGTCCACAGGGCATGCCTTGGATCTGAGGTCCGCTGGTCCTGCCCGGTGTTTTCTATTCCATCACTCGCACTTTAGCCAATAAAATGCTTCATGACAGGTATGAATGCAAATCGGGGTGGTGGTGGGGTGACGTCTTGATAGACGACGTTTTAAAAGCATTGAAATGACTAACCGGCTGTAAGAGGATCTGCCGTCGAAAGCCAAATACGGAACCGATGCTCCATCGTTATCAATAAATACTTGACTCTGACGTCGTCTCTTGTTTTCCTCCCAGTCCAAGTTTTTAGAATGTTGTGAATCACTTTGGCACACAAACACCCAGGGGAGACTGGGGCGTGGACAGTAAGGTGAAGGTGAAGTGAGCCATCAAGTTGTAACCAACTTAGCGCAACCCTTACTGGGGTTTTCAAGGCAAGAGACGAGCAGAGGTGGTTTGCCATGGCCTGCCTCTGCGTAGCAACCCTAGACTTCCTTGGTGGTCTCCCACCCAAGTACTAAACAGGGCCGACCATGCTTAGCTTCCAAGACCTGATGAGATCGGGCTAGCCCGGGTCATAGCAAAAAACACTCAGGTGCGGTCAGAGGGCGTGCTGAGAGTGGGTTAAACTGCTCCGGTTCTAACCGGATTATATTTGATCTGGACAATCGCGATCACACTTACCTCCCTTATCCCGCCTTACCACGCAGTCACATCGCTCCCCGGCGTCTACACTACTGACACACGGGAGCGTGTGTCAGCGGGTTTTTTATTTTTTTCTCAGTTTGCGCATGTGCGTAGGCGCCCCTCCGTAGAATGGGGGGGCGAAACTACCATGGTGCATGTGCAGAAACACCGGGGCGAATCAATCCAACCCCTCCAACAAAAGACTTCCCTTTAAACGTTTGACCCGAAAATGGCCTCCGTGAGATCCCGAACTCATCTAAACTCTAAAACAAGTGACCGTTTAAATGTCGGTTTTCTAAACACGGTAGCGGAGCTCCGCCTATGCGCACACCGCCAACGCATTAAAAAATTGGCGGGCGAAAAGCGGAAGCCTCAGGCAGCTTTCGAGCGGGGAGGGGGTTTAAATCGGAAGTGGCTCGACACCGGAGGAGCGATCACACAGGGGGAATACAGCTTTAAACAGGAGAGATGAAAAAACACCACTTTCGGACCTAGTAACAAAATACTCCGGGTTAAAACAGTTTTGAGCCGGAAACCAACGGCTGGGAACGGGAGGCAGATGTTGACTGTGTGATCGTGCGTATAAAATCTGTTTCTGAAGCGTGACGAAAGCTGATCAAACAGCCCGTCTGAATGCTCCCTCAGAGGTAGAAGAAGAAGAAGAGAATGGATTGATACCCCGCCCTTCACTACCCAAAGGAGTCTCAGAACGGCTTACAAGCTTCTTTCCCTTCCCCTCCCCACCACAGACACCCTGTGAGGTAAAAGAAGAAGAAGAAGAGATTGGATTGATACCCCGCCCTTCACTACCCAAAGGAGTCTCAGAGCGGCTTACAAACTCCTTTCCCTCCCCCTCCTCACAACAGACGCCCTGTGAGGTAAAATAATAATAATAAGAGATTGGATTAATACCACGCCCTTCACTACCCAAAGGAGTCTCAGAGCGGCTCACAAACCCCTCCCCCTCCCCACAACAGACACCCTGTGAGGCAGGTGGGACTGAGAGAGCTCTTGACAGAAACTGCTCTTTTTCAAGGACAGCTCTTATCAGAACTATGGCTTGCCCAAGGTCATCCAGCCAGGTGCAAGTGGGGGAATCAAACCCGGTTCTCCCAGATTAGAGTCCGCGCACTTAACCACTACACCAAACTGGCTGTTTGCCATTGCCTGCCTCTGCGTAGCAACCCTGGACTTCCTTGGTGATCTCCCACCCAAGGACTAACCATGGCCAGCCCTGCTTCACTGACAAGATCTGATGAGAACTGGGCTAGCCTGGGCCATTCAGGTCAGGGGAAAAGGCATAAAGAGGTGGAGTGCCGTCACCTGCCTCGGTGCAGCAACCCTGGACTTCTTTGGTGGTCTTGCACCCAAGTCCTAACCAGGGTCGACCCTGCTTAGTTTCCAAGACCTGATGAGATCAGGCCAGGCTGGGCCTACCAGCAAACGCCACTGCTCCCGTCGTCACTCCCAACAGATTTGTAGCAGCTCCTGACATTCAGCAACAAAGATGAGGGCACTTCTTCAGATGGGGGATAATGTGGTGGGGACAACTTAATCTCTATGCCAGGCCAGTTAAAAAAGGATGCCTGGTGTCAGCATAGGGATCCCAAGTCCCCCCGGGGGGCAGGGAAAACCCCGCCCCAGAGGCCCGTTCTCCAGCGCCGCCAGATCGGGCCCCGGGGGGAACTCTACCCCGACGTGACGCGACCACGCCGGGCACGCTCGGGGCAGGGCCACAGCCATCCAAGGGAAAACTCTATGGTTTTCCCTTGTATGGCCATGCCCCTGCCCCCAGCGTGCCTGGCGTCCTCCCGTCACTTCCGGGTGACGTGCGCGTGCGCACCAGACGCCAGCCGAGAGCCCCCCACTCCCGGCGAAGATCAACTTGGCAACCCTATGTAGTCCCAGAAGTGGGTGAATGGATAAAAAAATTACTTTTTATGGTTGAAATGGACAAAATGACAAGGAAACTTAAAAACTTGGAAGCAGAAGACTTTTTTGCAGATTGGAAAGATCTGAAAGACTATTTAGAGAAATACTGGGATGTGAAGGACAGTTTGCTTTGCTTTGATAACTATTGAAACATAAAGGTTAATAGAATAGAGATAAATATATAACGTATAAGAACGAAAGTTGAAAAAGAAGTTACCTATAGATGTGAAATGAAGGTGGAAGGAGTAAATAATAGAATTTAAGACATGGGCTGGAGGTTGGAGCACTGTGGGAAGCCTAAGAAGGGAGGGGGAAAGGTGGAAAGGATATATAACAAATGTAATTTTGATATGTGTTTGACTTTTTCATTATATCCCAATAAAATTGGTTTTTTAAAAAAAACTTGGCAACCCCATGTCAGCAGAACAACGCAATCGGAGATGTGTCTTGGACTCAGTGAGAGCCTGTGTATCGCCTGCCGGTCAGTCACACAAAAACATGTATACTTTTAGGCCTTTCCATGGACGTCATCCCAGCAGTGAAGCTGTGTTCATTTACAGCGCAAATAAGCAGGATCTCCATGGCTCTCCAAGGTCTCAGCCGGCAGAGGTCTTTTACATCACCTCCTGTTTGGTCCTTTTAACTGGAGATGCCAGGGATTGAACCTGGGACCTTCTGGATGTCAAATAGAGGCCACCGCCCTTCGCCTTAGTCCCCCCTAGGACAAGGGTCCCCAATGTGTGCCCATGGGCTTCACGGAAACTGCCGATACCTTTTCTGAGGCCCGCCAAGTGTTTGTAGAAAGTGGGTGTGGCACTGTGGCCATAGGGGCATTTTCCTAGCAAAGCACCTGTTTGGCTATGGAGATTTTTAACAGCAGGGCTATTTTTGGGCAGGAACGCACAGGAACGGAGTTCCGGCTGGCTTCCAAGTTGGCCACGCCCAGCAGGAACTCATTAGCATAACAGGCCACACCCAACAGCAGAAACTCATTAGGATTGGCTACATTAGGGGTGTGTCGCCTAACATGCAAAGGAGTTCCTGCTACAAAAAAAGGCCCTGGGTTTTGACAACAGACAAGGTAAACAGAATAAGGAGCAAAAGGTGGGTGTGGCTGGATGACCACACTTCTGGTAACATGAGGGTGCGCCCTAATGTGCTAATAAGCTGTGCTGTCGGAGTGTGGCCTAATATGCTAATGAGTTCCTGCTGGGCTTTATCTACAAAAAGAGCCCTGTTTAACAGTGTCGTCTTGGCAGCAGCTACCTCCACCGCAGAAGAATATTCACTGTGTGACTGAAGGTAAGCAGTGGCCGCCATTTTGTGGCTGCTTCTATCTCCCACAGCAGCCACTTTGTAGTTCTGCCCATCAGGCCGGGTCAGAATTCCAATGGCCTCTGCAGGTTCAAAACGTTTGGAGACACACACCCCCCACCCTAGGGTACCTCACAGGCCAGCACTCCGAAGACTACGTTTCCCAGCATGCACTGAGGCATAGCGCCTGCAATACCATGGAAACAATATATCTGAGGGCATGGGGAAGTACAGAGTTGGGGACTGGGAAGGACTGGTTCTGCACCTGGACCAGCTAGAAAGCCTGCTGGCCATGGTGACTGAGGGGAACCTCCACATTCAGAGGCACTAATCCTCTGAATCCCAGAGCCAGGAGGCAACCTCAGGGGAAGGCCTCGGCCTCTC